AATGCTTCTTTCTCATTGCTCAATATCTTTCCCAAACTCCCCCCTTCCATGAACTCGTAAACTAGGAATGAGTGTCGTCGATGCGAACAAAAACCATAAAGCTTTATGATATTACAATGCCGTATCTCTGCCAATGCACGAATCTCACTTGTAAAACTCCTTAGGTTTTCCGACTCACTATCTTGTGAAGAGTGAAGTTTCTTTACAGCAACAACCTGCCCACTTGGCAACTTGGCTTTATAAACAGTGCCATATCCTCCCACACCGATGCAATGTCTGGCATTAAAGTCTTCTGTTGCTTCAATGATGTTTTCGTACACCATTTTTCCATCATAGCTCCATATTGCAAACAAATTTTCAATATTTTCTCTTTTAGGCTCATTTTGTTTGTTTCCCACTCTTTTTTGAAGAACTAGAAAACTCCCAACAACCACAAAAAATAAAAATCCTAAAACAGGAACTAAGACCATAAGCAAAACTTTGTTTTGTTTTTTTCTCTTTAGACCCATTGCTTATTTTTTGTGAGCATAGCATCAAACCAGTCTTATTTCCACACAAACCATCATTACCTACATATGCCTCAAATGGAGCATCTTGAAAGGCTTTGGTGTTGGGCAAAGGACCCTCCAAGTGATTATAAGATATATCAACAAATGTCAAACTTGATCTCCCATTAAAAGAGGATGGAATGGAACCAGACAGCTTATTGTGGGATAGATTTAATGTCTCTAAGCTTTGCAATTCCCCAATCTGTTGTGGAATCTGACCTTTCAACAAATTGTTTCCAAGGTCAAGACTCTGAAGAAACTGTAATTTCCCTATTTCATATGGAATATCCTCCCTGAGTAGATTTTTGCTCAAATTCAAGTTCAATAGTTTCACAAGCTTCCCTAGTTGCATTGGAACTGATCCACTTAGATTGTTTGCCGCCAAGTTTAGATCTTCCAAATTAGATAGCCTACCAAATTCTACTGGAATGTTGCCTGAAAGTTTGTTATCACACAGAGAAATACTGAACAATAAGGCCAACTTTCCCAAACTCTTTGGGATCTCTCCATCTAGATGATTTGAAGAGAGGTCAAGTAGTTGCAACTGACTTGCACCTCCAAACCAAACATATCATAAGGATAAAAGGCTATGCGACCAAGCCTTCTCTTCATCTTATTCACACCTGTCCTTTGGAACAAGTTTTTATTTACCGACAGTATTTCAATGTGTTTCCAACTTTGAACACAGAAAATGGCAAAGAAATAGATAACAAAGAGAACGAAAATCAAAATTTCAAAGTAAAAATGGAAAAACAAAAATGCAAAACAATAAAGGGAAGAGGAGAATGAGAATGCTCAGGAGGTTGAACATTTGAAATCAAAGAGTTGTCCTAATGAAATCAAGTGAAATGAATTCTGCAGAGGCGGTCTCTGTTTTGATAGAGCCACATAAATTTGTCGCATTGTTGGTCGGCACTGTGGACTGGTGTGTAAACATGCCAATGCTAGCTTCACAACAAGGATCACTTCTTCTTCCACATGATTCCCAGGAGATGGGAGGCGCATATCCAATATATCTTTCAACAATACACCATAAACAGTGGGTCGTGATAAGGAAAGAGATGAGATGAGATCGCCCGGATGCTTCCCCATTAAAACTTCCAGTATTAAAACTCCAAAGCTATAAACATCCAACTTCTCATTCACTTTCATTGTGTAAGCAAGTTCTGACATAAAAACAGACCAAAGAAAATAGAGGGGAAATGGGGGAAAAAAAAAGAAAAGAAAAGACAGTTTGTTCATGGAAGATTAAGAAGAAGAAGAATAGTAGAAAACGCTTTGCATGCCAATTTAGAGAAAAACTATTCCATAAAAATTGGTAAATAAAAAAAAAAAAAAAAAATACTGTTCCGATCAACCGACTGGACATCCGGGAGAATATCCGGACAAATTACCGGGTAGACTAAAAATTAAAAAATTATGTGATTTACCAACTAAACATAGCATTCAAATATAAGGGTGAAAAATTTATTAGAAACTCACACCAAATACAACCTAAATTTTTTAAAAACTTTTTATGATGATTAAGTCCTAGACACTGGAAGGACCACTATTCTATAGCAGAGATAGAATTTTTCGGAGAAAAAGTTTAGAAATTTTTTTGATTTATTTAGTTGTATATTTTGAAAATAATTTTAGAGTTTGGGAGTTTAGAATGATTTGATATTTTGTTATAGCTGAGTAGATGTGTGTGAGATAAAAAGTGATTAAGAATGAGAGATAAGAGAGACAAAGTGATTCATTGAGGGCGAATTACATCAATAGTCTCTATAGTTTGGGCCGTGTATCGCTTTAATCACTGACTTTTTAATTGTGACACATTTGACCCTAAATTTTAAATTTCATTCCAAATAAGGACAATTAAAAATACCATTACTCAATTTCAAGAGTAAATTCGTCAATTTGATAAAATATAAACAAATTTGACAAAAATAAATGTCAAAAAAATATTTTTTAATTTTTAAAAATTATTTCTACCGACTAAATATAAAATTATGTAAAATCGATAAATTTTTTAGACATTTATTTATTTATTTATTTTACCAAATTAATTTTTATTATGTGTTTGGATGATGATAATGTAATGAGTGGTTATTTTTATTTTCATTAAATTAGTTTCTATTTTTTAAAACTCAAATATGGCGACAACTTTGATATCATTATTAAACTAATAAATTAAAAAATCCAAAACTAAAAACATTTCATATATTAAATATATCAATTACACATTAAAATCTTAACAACCACCTATTACATGGTAATAAAAATTAATTTAGTAAAATAAATAAATATATAAATGTCTAAAGATTTATCAATTTTACATAATTTTATCTTTGATGGGTATAGATTATTTTTAAAAATTCCAAAATATTTTTTTGACATTAATTTTTGTCATATTAGTTTATATTTTATCAAATTGACGACTCCGCACTTGAAATTGAGCAATGGTATATTCAATTATCTTTATCTAGAACAAGATTCAAAATTCAGGGTCAAATGTGTCACAATTGAAAAGTTAAGGACCAAAGTGACACGAGCTCCAAACTATAGGGACTGTTAGTGTAATTCGTCCATTGATTGATGTGTAATAGAGATAAAAGTAATTTTAGAATTTTTTTGACAAAATTTGTAACCAAACATGTTTTTGAAATTTTTTTTCCAAAAACATATTTCAAAACCAATCCCGCTAGGTAGCTCAAATAACCTACGACTCGAATGGCTAGAGGTGCCAAAATGGTCGTTTTCGCACCTTTTTTTTCTTTTCTTTCTTTTCTTTTCTTCTTCCTTCTCAACTTTTCTATCTGTTTTCTCTCTAAAACAAAAACAGAAGGAGAAAAAAGAGAGAAAGAGAAAAGAGGGAGGGGGAAAAGAGAAAGAGAAGAGTGAGGGGGAACAGAGAGAGAGAGAGAAAAGGGGAAACAGAGAGAAAGAGAGCTAGAACTCCCATCCACCGGCGCCTCCATTACCGTTGCCCATCGTCATTATTGTCGCAAACACGTCCACCTACTGGCGCCACTATCATCATCGTCCATCGTGACCCTCCTCTGTGTGTATACACACATAGATCTATGTATATCTCTCTCTATTCTCTCTATTCCCCCTCTCTTCTTTTCTTCTTCTCTCTTCCTTCCTCTTCTCTCTGTTCCCTCTCTCTTTCTTCTCTCACACCTCTGTTTCAGAGAGAAAAGAGAGAGGGAGAAAATGGCCAAATGCAAAACAACGTTGTTTTGGCATTCGGGCCACTCGAGCCTCCAAAATTTCGACCTATGAAGCAATGTTCTTTCAAAACACAAACTGAACACAACATTTATCTCTGTCTTTATTGTTTCAGATATTACATGAAATATTAGACTTACTTCAAACCTGTAGTAGAGTCCTCTTATATTGATAAAGAAAAACAAGTTTAGTTTGCTGATATATATTAACTATGGTTGTTTGTAAATTAAGTATATAAATTAAATCAGAAGCACAAAATAAACTAATCACATACAAATTTGTAATTTTAGTGTGGAAAACTCGAGTTCAAATCCTCTCCTTATACCCTCTCCTTGAGTTCCTACTTGGGACTGTCTAGATGCACCCAAACGGATCTGGCAGTCCAGATCTGCCCAAAAAAAAAAAAACAAATCAAAACAAATTGAAAATGGCCCTCACTCTCACTAATCGAAATCAAAATTTCCCTCACTCTTACTCAGTCTCGGCCTCAGCCTCAACCTCAACCTCAACCTCAACCTCAACCTCATCCTCACGATCTTCTCCTCCACCGAATCCAGCCTCACTGACGACCCACTCCCAACGACGGTGACCCACTCCTGAAACCCAGTTGCACAATTTTACAATGTTTTCTTGCCTACATAATACTGCTATTGAGGGAAATTATCTCTGTCAATCCCAATTTGGAGTTTAGCTTCCATGTCATGTACTTTTCAAAGCAGTTTTTAGTTTTCTAAATATAAACAATTTACAAAATTATTCTGCTCCCAATCAACTCAAGCACACTCCTGCTTTTTCCAATCAATGCTAAATATTTGGAGATGTATTCTCATGGGTAATCACCATTTCAGGTAGTAAAGTGAGATGATTTGGAATACGACTTCTCTGTTTTAGGACATTCTTTGGGGCCACTGTTCTTAGTGGAGTGTATCACTGGGTTTCAGGAGTGGGTCACTGTCGTCGGGAGTGGGTCGCCGGTAAGGTTGTGTTTGGTGGAGGAGACGATCATGAGGATGAGGGTGAGGGTGAGGGTAAGGACGAGGGTGAGGCTGAGTGAAAGAGAGGGAAATTTAATTTTGATAAGTAAAACCATCTCCAACGGTGAACCAAACTTGACATCAGATTTAAATTTTGGTGAAAAAGTCACTTTTTGATACCCCAGCGGTTTCAGCAATTTGATATCAAAATGAGAATTCAACAAAAAAATCATCAAACTGAGAACAGTGTCCAGATTTCAGCAAATTACTGTGTGTGACCGTTGGAGGAGAGGAACCGGTCAACTAGCAAGTTGCCCGGCCGGTTGACCAACCGATCGACCGGCTCAGCAATTCTGCGATAGGTTTGAACTGGTTGGTTTGAACTGTGAGCTGGTTGGTTTGAACTGCTTCACTGTGTGACCGCTGAAGGAGAGAAACCGGTCAACCAGCCGACTGCCCGGCCGGTTGACCAACCGGTCGACCGGGTTTATCAATTATGCGCCAACAGTAATGAACTGGTTTGAACTGGTTGGTTTCAACTGGTTTGAACTGGTTTATTTTGAGATAGGTTATTTTGTGGATTATGAATAATTTGGAGGGTGATATAAATTTAAATTCCCTTCAAAATATAATTGAAATTGTTAATGATGTGCTCTATAAAATATAATTTAAATTACCTCTCATATACATATTTCAGAACTAGCCGTTCCAATAATTTACCGTTGGATGGACAGAGTATTTTGAAAATTTACCGTTAATGATGTGCTCTATAAAATATATCTGTTTCGTATATTAAGCTGACAGAGTATTTCATTTTCAGAATAGCATTACATTATATGCTATGAATTTTGTTTCTTTTGTGTCATTAGAACTTTTTTTCCTTTGAAATTTTAATTTATATTATCTGATTAAATTATCTGATTCTGAGGTTGAGTGTATATCATTCTAATATTTTTCAGTAAGTTAGATATTATGTGTACTATATTTTTTTCAAACTATGGAAGATTTTGAAATGTTTGAGGAATCACAAATGTTGGAGCACAACACTAATATTAATTTTATGTCAGAAACTTCACGAGAGCAGAACACGCAGAACAGTGATAATCAATTTATTTCACAAACTTATCGTGTTTCTCGTGGTAAAGCGTTCACAATTATAGAAGACGAAACTTTATGTAGATCTTGGTTAGCAGTCTCTCAAGATCCCATTACTGGTAATAGTCAGACTATGGCTATATTTTGGGAATGAGTCCTTGTTTATTTTAATTCACAATTGAGCGGTGAATCAAATCGAAACCATATTTCTTTGTCTCACAGTTGGTCTGGTATGCAAAAGGCAATTAATAAATTCTGTGATTTTC